TCTAGCAAAGCGAGATAAGAGATAATATCAGTCGCGGAGAGGGAAAAGAAGTCTCAGTCAGAGAGCACAGCAGGTCGTACGACACAGACAAGATCTCGAACGACGAGCAGACCCTGATCCTTCTGTTTGGGCGATGATCCATGTGCTAGGCGCCTGGTCGTAAGGTCGTGCCACCATCGCACCTATAAACGCGTTCCTAGGTGCGACGGTGGCACGGCCCATGCCGTTACGTAGCCCGGACCTATCTTCAAAAGCGCATCCCACAATCAAATTTTAGCAGTTCTCCTACACGAACATGAAAGCAGAATTGTGAAGGGGACATTCGGGCAAATCCATAAGACGAAGATAGCCAAGGAAACCTGAATGGACAGCCAAAAGAGCAAAACGATGGGAGAGGGCAGAAACCTCGTTACGTGAGCCGTCGCACTTCGATAAACGGCGTAAGCACCTTAGTCATTTGACAAGTTCTTAGTGCCGGCCAGGCGCACTTTCGAGCCCTTGCGACCATTGTGGACAGCTGGAAGCTGTCTAACACGTTGAAAGGATTGATCCACCCGAGTTTATGCTGGAATGTGCCTTTGAGGGAGCTTCAGAAAACAAGGTACATGATCGAAAGAGAACCTTCGCGCTGACTTGGCGAACTGATCCAATCTCATCAAATTTCAAATTTCCCGAAATTCCTATACAGCACTCTCATTTCCCATCGAGATGCTGCGCTGGCTGTGTAAATAGTGCCCTAGGCAGGTGGTAGAGGAGTTGAGGGTTTGTTCAGTAGTAGCCAAACAATCACTAACTCCTTATCCTGATCACAGTTTCATCAGCTGCCCCACCCCGGTCATTTGTGTGTTCTGTTTCACCTTCAAATCGCTGCACTGAAAATGTTCATAAATTATGACAAAATTACAGCAAAGAGTGATAATTTCGCTTCATCTCAGACTGGCGCTATTTGTCAAAGACGAGACCCTGGAGAGTGATGGAATGCTACTTACCTTGCTTGAAGTGAGTTGATTGCTGCCATTTCATCGAGAATGTATCGAAGTAGCGGGTGCTGATGCACTCGCTCTTCTTCGCTGACGATTTTAAACACAACATCTCTTCTTCCGTTGGCGTACACATCCAGAATTAGTTTCTTTCCAATAGTGCGCACCTAAGTTTTCAGAAAAATGAATCAAGTGGATGATGTGGGCTCGAAAGCCTATGAATTGGAAAGTGGCTTTTGCTTTTCCATTAAAAAAAGTCAAACATTCACGAGGCTCAAGCTTAAACGACCAGGGGAGCGCCCTCGAAATATCCTAAATCGGCGATTATTATGTTTCTAATTAGTCTTGTGGGCTTCTCTTTATTCTCCAGTTTGATCTTTCTGTGTTCAAGTGGACTTGCAATTCGCTTTATATATAGACTGATTTCATATGCTGCAAATTATGCTATTGCGCTGCTATTAACCAGGTAGGCTAACTCGAGTGGAGCAGGCCAGATTAAAACGGGAGGTTGGGGAGCACCGCATTGATTTCATCTCTTCTTGTGACACGCCAATCATTTTCTATTTCCACTTGGAATCATGAAGGCATTTCGATGTAATTTGGCCTCTATAAGGGCTTGCGGGAGCCAGAGCCGACGTACGTGACCATGCGTTCGTCCTCTATACTGACCTACTAATAAACCTAGCTTCAGCTGAGTTGAGGCTTGGTTGGCTCTGCCTGGATTCGATCCGGGATTTGACTCCCAGAGTAGTACGTACGCGCGTGATGAGAAAGACCTTTGCCACTGCAGCAACTCCGCCCACATCTTCATCAAATAGCGTGACTGATAAGAAGCCTGGATCACAGAGGTACTCGTACAGAGGAAATGGAAATAAGACCGCGGCAAGATACGCGTCTCCGAATGTTAAAAAAAAGTCGTATGATCAGGCTTTTTATCACACTGAGCCGTTTAGGTGGCAGTCTCTCTTAGAAAGAGAACTGAAATATTGGCTGATTATCCGAAATCTATCGTAATGAAAACTTATCTGAAAGGCTTCACAGTTCCAGTGTCACTTGGTAGCTCAGTGTATTCACCCACGCACTCAATAGACCTTTTAAGGGAAAAAGTACCAAATCTAATCGTTCGCTCTTGATCTCGTTCAAATGGTGCGAGTGTTCAATCCACGTCTGTGGAACCCCATTCAGCTTCGGTTATAGCATCACTAGATCAACACAAAGGTGACTAGTGGAAAGGAACCGCGCTCACTGTTTCAGGGTTGAAATTAAGGTAGCTGCTCTAGGCAACCGTGCCCCTCTCCACCCTTCGCTGTTACTCTG